TGCATACAGAGAACCAAAGACAAGGGGATTCATAGTCTGAGTCCTCAAATAGATTCTGGGGCAGAGTGATGGCTAAAGAGAAGGCAGGGAGAGAGAGGGAGGATCCTCTGAAGCCCACCGTCTCTGGCTGCAGTACAGCGTTCCTGCATGTTCCTAGATTGGAAAAGTTGCACCATCACTGCCCATGGCATCAGATAATGTTCTTCATCCTATCAAGCCCCTCCTCAGCCTAGGGGAGCAAGGGAGAAGACAACCAGCTGACATGCTGAAGCAGAACTCCAAACCTCGGGGTGCGATTCTGACAGCACTCTCTGACATTATATTGGAGAGAATAAGACATCAAAATAAGAAACTTGAGAATGCAAATCATGCCAGCTACAGAACAGGTCTCAAAAGCAATTAGCCCAAATTAGAACAGGTAGTGAGACAACTCCAGGAAAAATAGCACAAGAGTAAGATTCAGATGGCTTTGAGGTAATTGGGGGTTCTAAAAAGAACAGCTGAAGCATAGTAAAAACGGGGTCTGTTCCAAGCAGTAGGTAAAATGTGTGAGAATCTGACAGTCATTTGCGACGGAAGAAAGAATGTATTTCTTTTCCAAATGGGGCATATGAAAAGTCCCAAAATAAACTAAGTAAAGTCAAAAATTTTGTAAGAAAATGTGATATTAAGTGATGTAAATTCACCGGGCCTGATTCTAAACAGTGAGTGGAAGATAAGAAAAGGAGAGATGGGTTAGTGGGTAAGAAGAGCATTTCCTGCTCTTGCAGAGGATCTGAGTAGGTTTCCACACCCACATTGGATGGCTTATACTGCCTGTAATTCCAGCTCCAAAGGGTTCCAAGACATCTGGCCTCCATGGGCGCCTGCACACATATGCATGTATCCACACACACACACAGATGCATATATACACATTATTAAAAATAAAATAAATATTTTTATAAAAAAAGAAATGGGGCTGAGAGATATGTTAATCTATGTGTGTGACAATAAATCATTAAAAATCAGTTTAATACTATATGATCTATTTATTTACTTTTGAGATGGGTCTCACTATATGACAAGTGTTCCTGACTGGCCTCAAACTCACTATGTAGACCAGGCTGGCCTTGAAATAACAGAGTTCTTCCTGTCTCTGCCTCCTGCATGCTAGAACTTAAAGCACATGCCACCACCCCAGATTGAAATGTCTTTTAAAACAAAAATAAAATATTTAAAACAAGAAGAATGTCAAATTGCACCACAGAGAACATTTTGTTACATTTACTAAAATACTCACTATGGCAGCTTTGTCATATTTTCATGAAAATGCTCTACCACTGAGCTACCTCCCCAGCCTGCTTTGCCATATTTCTCTACTACACCCTATTTTCATTCCTTCTTTTCTCAGAGCTAGTGTTGCACCCAACACCCCCCACCCCCTGGCCAGAGACCCATGCACACTTTCTCGGTCTCAGGTTCATGCAGTTTGACCAAACCACCATAATATCTTTCTTAAGTTACAGTTTGGGGAATAAAAATATTTATTTGGACTTGCCCATGCACACTTTCTCGGTCTCAGGTTCATGCAGTTTGACCAAACCACCATACTATCTTTCTTAAGTTACAGTTTGGGGAATAAAAATATTTATTTGGGCTTGCTGACAAAGTTTATGTTATTTGGGAGAGGGTCACTTACAAAGGCATATGCACACCCATGGGCTCTTTCTCACCCACATCTTGGCTAAGCTTGAGATCCATGCCACCAGTGCCAGGACCATCAGCATGCCTTGCCAAGATGGAAACCCCCACACACACTTCCCAGATTGTTCAGGGCTTCCCCAGTGTCCCAGCTTCTGTCCCTAGACCCTCCTCCTCTGAGTCTCTTGGGGTTCAGTTCTAGTTCCCTTGGAGAACATGCCTACCCCAACACTACTCATGTTCATTTTCTTCCTTCTGATTATAAATTTCTTAAGGGAAGACACCATGTGTTACTCATCTCAGTACCAACATCAAACCTTCAGGAGCCACTAATAATTCTTGTTGGAACACATAGGCCAAGTGTGATTTTCCAGATACATGGACCTTAACTACAATATGTCAGTGAGTATACCAGATTCAGTCTCAAGTTATAATTCAAGATACAAACTCAACAAAGTAAAAGCACCCTTCATGAAAAACACAAATTAGTTTTAGGCTATAAAAAAGTATTTTGTGGCACTACCTCTTTCATTGGTTTATTCGGGGAAAACAGCAATAAACACCAAATCCTGCTGTAACCAAAAGCTTTGCTCTCATGTACAATATTCTTTCAGGTGATTGAACTGTACAAAAAGAGATTTTTTTGAGACCCTGAAATAATAGCAGATGACCCCTGTGTTTCTGCCCTCATTGCTTATCTCTCAGCAACAGAGCACAGTCCCACATTCCTGGGAATTTACTGGACACATAAAAGCCAGATGTTGGTGAAAAGGATTACATTACATGCAAACAAATTAATTTGGTTTGTGGCCAAGATATGTGAAAGATAGACCTAGATTTTTTACCTCAAGGTACCAAGAATAATATCTGTTGGGTTTAATCACAAGCTTTCCTGTCGATTTTAGAAAATGGCCAACAAAATTCCTTTTACAGTAGTAGGCATTGTGATGCTTGTTCTGGTTGTCTGGAATGTACAAAAGTTTGCTTACTGGTAGCAACTTATGGAGGGGGGAGTCTAACAGTGTGAATCATCTTTAAAATTTGTGCTCCATCGATGTAATAAATATTCAACAAAGAAAAAAAAGCTAGGAGAAAAAAGTAACTGCCCTCAATAATAATAACTTATGAGGTTAAATGATACATTAAAAAAATTCTCCCTGATATTTTTTGACTGAGTGAAAGTTAATTTTGCAGCAAATGACCTTCTCTTAGGCATCCCCACAAAGAAAGTATTATGCTGGTAGTGATATTGCTGGGGTCAGTTATCAGTAGCAACATATTGAATTTTGTGCATGAAAAACACTTCATAAGATAATAGAATTTAAGAAAAACTAACTCAAGAGAACCACTTCATATATGGACAATGAATAAGTAGGAAAACTTATCTCTTACTTTAGATTCATTTAAGAATGGTGGGCAAAATGGCTCAGCAAACAAGATGTTTTCCCCCATGCATGATGAACCTGAGTTCAATCTTAGCATCCACGTGGTAGAAGGAGAGATTGGCTCCTGAAAGTTATTCTCTGACCTCCACAGGCGCACCATAGCAAGTGTACCTACACGCATAGACATGTACAAATAATAAACAAATGTAATGAGTTTTTTAAATTTTATTTAAGGATTTATTGCTTCTTATTCAAATATATCCACTATCTTCTAAGTTTTGAAAGTCACACTTTTTTGAAAAAGTTCTTTTGCTCTGGGCAAGGAAATTGTTCGAAGAGAGATCATTATGATTGGACCTGAAAAAGCAGATCGCAAGCTGGCCTGAAAGCAGGACACAGCATTTGGAAAAATACTTTTGAATCATGACAACTGGCCACTAATTCTATTAGAGAGCAAATTAGAGTGAGGTTGGCCTAATCTCCTGTCATCTTTGAACCTGACTCTGCAAGAAGAAAGGGCCAGATTAGATTTCCTTTTGAGTCTTTTTAATTCTAAGATCCTATCAGTCATGAGGTTTTACTCTGATTTCATTCCTTCTTTCTGTTATTAATACTTTTGAATCATGACAACTGGCCACTAATTCTATTAGAGAGCAAATTAGAGTGAGGTTGGCCTAATCTCCTGTCATCTTTGAACCTGACTCTGCAAGAAGAAAGGGCCAGATTAGATTTCCTTTTGAGTCTTTTTAATTCTAAGATCCTATCAGTCATGAGGTTTTACTCTGATTTCATTCCTTCTTTCTGTTATTCTGGACTTCGTTTTTGGAACCCCAATATCCAATGATTCAATTTTTGTCTTC